TTTCATTGGTAATTTAAAAAAGTGTCCCAGTGGTGCTTTTTGACTCATCCCAATACCATCACAACGAAGGTTTATCACCATAAACACATGGTTTTATTGCATATGTTTTTTTGATCATCTTATGAATGTATTTAATCAAGTCTTATAATTGTGCAGCAAAAGAGGAACACAATATGAATAGTCTGTGCAGGCCAAGAACATTATTAGCGTCTCATTTTCCTTTCTGTGATCTAATATGGATACTCATTGACCATGAATGACCTGTCTATGACACAGGAAACATTAAAGAACAAGGATTTATTCAAAGGGATTCCTGGTTAAAAGTGAAATCGCTTTCTTAACCACGGGGCCTTCTTCCCACTATTTACATCTCTTAAAAGCTTAAAATAGCATCAGATATATTTATTCATAATAAGTGCATGCAAGCTAAGTAAGGTGGTAGTTGTCACATATGGCTGAGTATCGAGGATTGGGACCCTCTGTACAGACTGCACTAGAGACAGGGGTCTGGGCAAACACAGAACAATGGACTCACATGCAGAAGTATCTTGCAGCACCAGGTTTTTTTCTGACTACAGAAGTCACTTGCAGCACTGGGGTGCTGGACTCACAGGAAAGTTGGACCCAAAGGGAGGTGCACAGGAGTCCCAGGGGATGTAGGTATGCTAAATTCTTGTTTCAGTGCATCTCTTAGTGCCGTTCACAACTGTCTGACATAGAGCAGCCCCTGTTGCAGGCTCATAAACCAGCCATAGATGTATCAAATTGATTAGATCCATCTATGGCAGGCTGGTTGTACTGAAATCAATCCATCCATCAACTTGGGTAAAACCAGCCTGTCGGATTTTTTTACATGCGAGTGCTGTCGACGGCGTTTTTTTCATGTGAATAGGACACTTGGAACTGAAAATAAGATTTTAGAGTTGCCTTTAGGCTGGAAATTATGGGAATTATTGTACTTGAAATGACTGAGGATAATAAGTATTTGTCCTGGACTATGTTAATAGATCATAAGACTACCATTAAATTAGACTTTTAAGTAAAAACATGGAAAGAACAGAATCAGTTTATGCAACATGAGCTTCTTATTTATTACCTTTGCCATTACTGATAATGAGGCTAAAAGAGGTCACCTTTTAAAAAAAAATTGCTGATAATTTAAAGTGACACTTGAAAATGTCCTCATCATTCAAAAATAATCCATACACATGTATTACTTAATGGTCCTGTAATCCTATTTTTCATGAAATAGTATTTTACTGTGTTCTTCTATAACCGATAACTTTAATCATTGTGTTCTGCTGGCAGTGAAGGCTTTCTGCAAGCAGAACACAAAAGTGCTCTGGGAGGGATTACCTTGTCAACTCTGACCGTGTTAATGGGGGAATCGAGTGATTTTATTTCCTGCAACCCGTGATTGCAGGAAAGAAAATCAAATCATCTATGGCTTGCCTTACTTTGTGGATTGTTACAAAGTTACATTGTACAGTCTGAACAAGGTGAGAGGAGACATCCTCCTGCATGCAGCACTGATGAATTCATCTCAGTCTAGGCACTGTCACTTGTCTAGGGCTTGGTTCACACTTCTGCGACCTGAAAGTTGCGCCTTTACCAGGTGACTTCCTGGCGATTTGCTGGTGACTGGAGTATGACTTTGATGCGACTTGATGCACGACTTTCATGCCATACGACTTTGCCTGGGTAATCTTCCTGTAGACCGCTGATGAAGTCACGTGGTGCGTGACGATAGGTGTGGGGAGGAGTCGGGTGACATCAGCGCTCCAACACTAATCTGACAGGCAGGATTTGCTCTTTACTGATTGCTTCTGTTGTGGTTTTATTACATTTTTTATTGGTTACCATGTGACTGTAAATGTCTTAATAAATTACATGCCATTTTAAAGAAGGTATAGATGGATGAAAGTGAGCGCTTTTCCAGTAAGCAGCTGTACACTCAAGGCAACCAACAGAAATCCTTATACAAATCAGAGATAAAATAGTACAGCGCTAATAGAGGTAGGTAAAGTCTAGATAAACGATAAATATCGAGGGAGCCTGTTCCATCTTGTGGCCCAGATGACTACCTATTGACACCAGGATATTATATACAATGCACATTAATAGTGCACGTCCGGTGAGTGCGCATTTCTTATATTAATACAAGGCACAAGCACCAATTTGAAGCTGTGGTACTTTTTAATTACTTCTGTGGATATTTGTAGATTTATTATTTTTTACTCAGTTTTATTATTTTAAATTTATTAGCTATCCCACATGTGATCATTTACACTATTTTGACATCTATATACATCTGTTATTCTTCCTATTGTCCAGTTGGTAATATTTAGACTTGAACTACCTCTATTAGCACTGCACTATTTTATCTCTCATTTTAAAGAAGCATACTGCACTATGGTCTTCTTTGTGGTTGTCAAGTTTTACCCACAGAGTCAGCTGTACTGAAATCAGGTGCCATTTGGAAGGCTTAGCGGTGATTCATAAGGGGAAGATTGCCCACAGAGGAGCAAGTTATGTGTTACCCCCACTTATAGGGGAAATGCTTTTCTGACCTGTGTCCACATACAGGTCCATGTGAGAAGGTGAGGGTCCACCTGGACTTGCAGCACTGGGAATTTGGGTGCAGTCACCAGTAGGAAGATGTTCCACTTTTTTGACATTTTGAAGAATTTATTTTTCTTCATTTTTTGTGGGCATTAGTCACATTTGAGTCTGTCTACATATTTGTTTGTTGTTAGCAGTGCAACACTTATTTAATTCGATATTCCTGTAATGTCAGATCCAAATCACATCAACATACATGAGAATCTGACTTGGAGGCGACTTCCATTAACGTGTAAGGGCAAAAGTCGAATAGAAGTCGTCTTGAAGTAGTACAGGAACCTCTTCTAAACTCGGAGTGACTTCAGTAGTACTAATTAAGACAGCTCCAATTGATTAACATGGGATTTTTTGCGACATGCGGTCTCACAAGTCTGAGTCCAAGCAGCGGCAGTGTGAACCGAGCCCAAAGGTCAAGGAATGATTTTAAGGCCTCATGTACACTGACAATTATTTTAACTCCCCTCAAAGCCAGCAGTGTTTTGGCAAAAAAAGCTTGACACTTGTAAAACACTTGAGTTTACCAGCATCAGGAGTTTGGGCGTTAATTTATTTCAATGGCCAAAATAAATGGTTTATTCTGGCCAATGAAATGAACGCTCAAGAGCTAAATGTGCCTAGCGCCGACATGCCATGTAAGCGCGTCAAGAGTTTTTTTAGCCAAAACGCTGCTTCTCCAGGATGCCCTGGCAGTGAGGTTTTTTTTTTGGGTCACTAAACTATCCTGCCACAAAATGCGGCTAAAATCCTATGAGTGCATGAATACATAGAATAACATGCAGGGATTTAGAGGCAATAGTTTGTTTTATGCCTGACACCCCTGGGAGCAGCTGTAAAAATGTCCAATGTGCATGAGGCCTCAATAATAAAAGGTACAGCTTTTTTGAAAAATCATAATGTTGCTGTATATGAAGTTATGTCAAGGATGTATTAATGCAGACTTGTAATGAAAGGTCCACCTTAGGTCCCTTCCTATCTAATAATACCAGACTTTATTATCAGGTCGACTGTCAGTGTGTGTTCAGACACTGCCTTTTCAGATTGCACAAGACTTCCCTGCTACTGGTGACAAAAAGCCTGCAACACTTCTGGCAGTATTGGATGTAGCAAGAAAAATAAAAGAAATTGTGCTGTAAAAATGATGGGGGGGGGGGGGGGGGTGTTAACAGCAGAAAGTCTTTTTCTGCAACTGCTAAGTACTTGCATTATTAAGGTATGTTAAACATTCTATGGATAGAATGGTAAAATGGTCAATTTAAGTTGAACTCCAGGCTTATCTAATATACATACATAATGCAGCTCTGAAATCATTCATACATTTTTCATGTATTTTGTTTTTACTGTAAATTCCCGAATTGGACTTTATTTCAACCTTTTTTAATAGCCTGTACAGCAGCACTCAGACTTCAGTGAGGCAGTGATTGGAGTCAATCAGGTGACCTGCCTGCAAATATGCTGGAAAAAAAAAAAAAATAACAGAGCATAGTGAACAGAGGGATAACCTCATCAGACTTTTACAGCTCTCCGATTGTCCAACCTCTTAACTGGGGGCTTGGTGATGTCAGCAGTGTATTCCATAAATAGCAAAACCAAAAATGACATTTAATACAGTGTCTTTTTTTGTTTTTCTGTGTCCCTGTGTCAGAGTAACAACTCTGCTGTGTGATTTTATTGTAGATTTAATAGTGTTGTCACCTTATTACAAGAAGTGGAAACAGAGAGAGTTCTTAGGCTTATGGTACAATAGAGACCCTGTTGCTGGTGAGAGCTCAGGACTGCAAAAAATTGCAGACAAAACACTCACCTACTTCTAATGTGTCACTCCTGGCTAGATGACTGAGGAGACATTTTGCTCTTCCAGCCAGTGAGGGAGAGACGCATGGATTATGGAGTATTTCACTACCCTGTTTGGCTCGCATAGTGAGAACTCACCCATGACAAAGTTGTGACATGGCTATTATCTATTATTGTATGCACTTGGGTGCAGTCTTCTAAGTCCAGCTATGTTCCTGAACCTAAAGGTAATTCACATAAAGTAATGAGGTCTAAGATATAATGAGGAGAATATTCCTTCTTACCTGCTTTGATGTGAGTTTTATTAACGAGCCTTCATAACCCTGAAAAGCAAAAAAAAAAAACTAAATTTAAAAACTGCTGTTTTAGAGTCAGAAGGAAGGACAACATTTTATTACTTAGTTGATATATATAGATAGAGAGAGAGAGATACACACACATGCAAACACACACACACACACACACACATATATACAAACATACACACGCTATATTGCCAAAAATATTGAGACACCCCTCCAAATCATTGTATTCAGGTGTTCCAATCACCTCCATGGTCACAGGTGTATAAAATCAAGCACCTAGGCATGCAGACTGCTTCTACAAACATTTGTGAAAGAATGGGTCGCTCTCAGGAGCTCAGTGAATTCAAGCATGGTACCGTGATAGGTGGTCACCTGTGCAGTAAGTTCATCCATGAAATTTCCTTGCTACTAAATATTCCCACGGTCAACTGTTAGTGGAATTATAACAAAGTGGAAGCAACTGGGAACAACAGTAACTCAGCCACAAAGTGGTAGGCCATGTAAAATGACAGAGCGAGGTGCACGCATGCTGAAGCGCACAAGTCATCAACGGTCTGCAGAGTCAATAGCTAAAGGCCTCCAAACCTTGTGTAGCCTTCAAATTAGAACAATAACAATGCATAGAGAGCTTCATGGAATGGGTTTCCATGGCCGAGCAGCTGCATTCAAGCCTTACATCACCAAGTGCAATGCAAAGCGTCCGATGCAGTGGTGTAAAGCACGCCGCCACTGGACTCTAAAGTAGTGGAGACGTGTTCTCTGGAGTGAAAAATCATGCTTCTCTGTCTGGCAATCCGATGGACATGTCTGTGTTTGGCAGTTTGCCAGGAGAACGGTACTTGCCTGACTGCATTGTGCCAAGTGTAATGTTTGGTGGAAGGGGGATTATGGTGTGGGGTTGTTTTTCAGGGGTTGGGCTTGGCCCCTTAGTTCCAGTGAAGGGGACTCTTAAGGAGTCAGCATACCAAGACATTTTGGACAATTCCATGCTACCATCTTTGTGGGAACAGTTTGGGGATGGCCCCTTCCTGTTCCAACACAAGTGCACAAAGCAAGGTCCATAGAAACATGGATGAGCGAGTTTGGTGTGGAGGAACTTTACTGGCCTGCACACAGTCCTGACTTCAACCCAACAGAACACCTTTGGGATGAATTCGAGTGGAGACTGCAAACCAGGCCTTCTCAACTGACATCAGTGCCTGACCTCACAAATGCTTTTCTAGACAGACACACTCCTAAACCTTGTGGACTGCTTTCCCAGAAGAGTTGAAGCTGTTATAGCTGCAAAGGGTGGCCAACACAATATTGAACTCTACGGACGAAGACTGGGATGCCATCAAAGTTCATGTGTGTGTAAAGGCAGGGGTATATATATATATATATATATATATATATATATATATATATATACACACACATACATACATACATATATACATACATATATACATACATACACACACACACTTTATTAGGTACACCTGTTCAATTGCTTGGTAACACAAATTGCTAATAAGCCAATCACATGGCAGCAACTCAATGCATTTAAGCATGGAGACGTGGTGAAGACTACTTGCTGCAGTGCAAACCGAGTATCAGATCGGGAAAGAAGGGATATTTAAGTGACTTTGAACATGGCATGGTCGTTGATGCAAGACGGGCTGGTCTGAGTATTTTAAAAACTAGTGATCTACTCGAATTTTCATGGACAACCATCTCTAGGGTTTACAGAGAATGGTCCGAAAAAGAGAAAATGTCCAGTGTGCAACAGTTGTGTAGACGAAAATGTTTTGCTGATGTCAGAGGAGAATGGGCAGACAGTTTATTGCAACATTCGGATGGTAGGGTCAGAATTTGGCATAAACAACATGAAAACATGGATCCATCCTGCCTTGTTCAGGCTGGTGGCAGTGGTGTAACGGTGTAACTTGTTTTGTGGGGAAACTTTTCTTGGCACTGGCAAAGTGTACCTAACATAGTGGCCAGTGATTGTATATTGTATCTAAATATATATATCATATACAGTATATGCTATTTATTTAGCTGTTGTCCCACTTTTTTTTTCTGGATAAAAAACAAAAAGTAACAAAGCTCCAAAAACAATCAAGTTTCTTGTGCTTTGTTTGGATAATACATATGATGGAATAAGTATAAGACGACCCCCAAAATAGTGTTGTGCTGTTTAACACCTTGTAGCCTTTTACATTCAGGCCCTAAAACACATTTGTCCAGAGTGCTTTTGGTGCATTGTGCTTTAGGTGCATTATACCTGCATTACCATTGAACATAGATGCAGCAAGTAGGATTTTGTTTAATACATGTCACCTAAAACACATGTAAAACACAGAGGCATAAACAGAACGATAGTGCCTTGTGTATTATCACAACACAAAGAAAAGTGTGCACTGACATAATACAGCTTTTTTTTACCCTAGCATTCTACATAAAACATGGAAAAGATTTATCCCGCTTAAATGTCAAGTAGTAGGAAACCCCGTGTGCACCTCTGGAAGGGGTTAGTTCACCAGAGTGCTCACAGTAATTAATTCCAGAATTTGGAAATTATAGTTTAGAAATTACATGGCTGTTACAGTCTGAACATCTAAGTGAAGATTTAGTTACAGGGGACTCAAATGATCTAGGATAGGTTTACACCTGCGGTTGGAGGGGAGGTAAAAACACATGGCTGAGACAATGTAAAAGCAGTGGATGGTGGTGTACATACGTTTGATTGCAATTATCCCCATTTACCTGAATGAAGCTGCTCCGCAACCACTCTGCAACCACTCTGCAACCATGTGCAATGCATGTGGATGCAGTACGATGGTAGTTTGTTTTAGGGGTGAAAACAGGTGGTGAGGAGGAGACTAAGTACCTCCTCAGTACCTGTCAAATGCTCTCTGAAAAGTGTTCTACTGTGGATTGTTCTTCAGAAGGCAAAGCTCATGTAAACAATTCCCTAGAGCAGGGGTGACAAACTGGCGGCCCTTCAGCTGTTGCGAAACTACAAGTCCTATCATGCTTCTGCCTTTGGGAGTCATGCTTGTAACTGTCAATCTTGCAATGCCTCATGGGACTTGTAGTTTGGCAACAGCTGGAGGGCCGCCAGTTTGAAACTCATGCCCTAGAGCAGGGGTGGGCAACTGTGGCCCTACAGCTGTTGTAGAACTACAAGTCCCATGAGGCATTGCAAAACTGACAGTTACAAGCATGATTCCCAAAGGCAGAGGCATGATGGGACTTGTAGTTCACCAACAGCTGGAAGGCCACAGTTGCCCACCCCTGCCCTAGAGGGTAAATGTCACTCCACATTACTATACTATATAAAAAATAAAGCAACAGAGATGAATGTATAGTGTTTCTTTAACCTCTAAAAGAGGTTATTTGTTGAGGTGTAGTACCCCGATTAATGTATCCTTTGTCTTGAATTCCTCTTGAACTTTGCACTTTCTGACATGTGACTGTGCTTAGATACCCCTGTACCATCCTGCATATCTACAGCTTGAGATCACTGAAGTCATATTCTGCCCACTCCTGCCTTGGATGGCTGCTATTCTCAGATTTGAAGTGAGATGTGGTGATGTCACTTCTTTGCTGTTCGTTGTTCTTTTGAGAGTCTGCTGGAGGGGAAGCTATACTTGAGAACTTTTAGTGCATGCAACTCTATGCTCCTACTTGATCAATTTTGTCGATCAATGCTTTCTCCATCCTTCCTCCTTCTACTTAGCCCCTCAAGTCGTCAAGGCATGAATATTATGTTAGAAAGCAAGACTCTGCTTCTTTACCAAGATGGTCACCTCTACATGGAGAAACAGCATGTATAGCAAGTCAGTCCTGCAGCTGCATGGAGCCAAGAGACAAACACCACTATCTAGTCCCCCCCCCCCCCCCCCCTCACCACTTGTCTTTTTCAGGCATGGCTTCCACAATATACAGTGGAGCAAAAAAGTATTTAGTCAGCCACCAATTGTGCAAGTTCTCCCACTTAAAAAGATGAGAGAGGCCTGTAATTGGCATCATAGGTAGGCCTCAACTATGAGAGACAAAATGAGAAAAAAAAAAATCCAGACAATCACATTGGCTGATTTGGAAAGAATTTATTTGTAAATTATGGTGGAAAATAAGTATTTGGTCACCTACAAACAAGCAAGATTTCTGGCTCTCACAGACCTGTACCTTGTTCTTTAAGAGGCTCCTCTGTCCTGCACTCATTACCTGTATCAATGGCACCTGTTTGAACTTGTTATCAGTATAAAAGACACCTGTCCACAACCTCAAACAGTCACACTCCAATCACCACTATGGTAAAGACCAAAGAGCTGTCGAAGGACACCAGAAACAAAATTTTAGACCTGCACCAGGCTGGGAAGACAATCTCCAATAGGCAAGCAGCTTGGTGTGAACAAATCAACTGTGGGAGCAATAATTAGAAAATGGAAGACATACAAGACCACTGATAATCTCCCTCGATCTGGGGCTCCATGCAAGATCTCACCCCATGGGGTCAAAATGATCACAAGAACAGTGAGCAAAAATCCCAGGACCACACGGGGGGACCTAGTGAATGACCTGCAGAGAGCTGGGACCAACGTAACAATGGCTACCATCAGTAACACACTACGCTGCCAGGGACTCAGATCCTGCAGTGCCAAACGTGTCCCCCTGCTTAAGCCAGTACATGTCCGGGCCCATCTGAAGTTTGCTAGAGAGCATTTGGATGATCCAGAAGAGGATTGGGAGAATGTCATATGGTCAGATGAAACCAAAATAGAACTGTTTGGTAGAAACATAACTCGTCGTGTTTGGAGGAGAGAGAATGCGGAGTTGCATCCAAAGAACACCATACCTACTGTGAAGCATGGGGGTGGCAACATCATGCTTTGGGGCTGTTTCTCCGCAAAAGGGACCAGGACAACTGATCCATGTACAGGACAGAATGAATGGGGCCATGTATCGTGAGATTTTGAGTGCAAACCTCCTTCCATCAGCAAGGGCATTGAAGATGAAACGTGGCTGGGTCTTCCAACATGACAATGATCCTAAACATACCGCCCGGGCAACGAAGGAGTGGCTTCTTAAGAAGCATTTCAAGGTCATGGAGTGGCCTAGCCAGTCTCCAGATCTTAACCCCATAGAAAACCTTTGGAGGGAGTTGAAAGTCCGTGTTGCCCAGTGACAGCCCCAAAACATCACTGCTCTAGAGGAGATCTGCATGGAGGAATGGGCCAACATACCAGCAACAGTGTGTGCCAACCTTGTGAAGACTTACAGGAAACGTTTGACGTCTGTCATTGCCAACAAAGGATATATAACAAAGTATTGAGATGAACTTTCGATATTGACCAAATACTTATTTTGCACCATAATTTGCAAATAAATTCTTTCCAAATCAGCCAATGTGATTGTCTGGATTTTTTTTTCTAATTTTGTCTCTCATAGTTGAGGTCTACCTATGATGCCAATTACAGGCCTCTCTCATCTTTTTAAGTGGGAGAATTTGCACAATTGGTGGCTGACTAAATACTTTTTTTCCCCACTGCAAGTCTTATTAAATATTCACCATCTATCAGGTAGAGCTCCAGACTTCATGAACTATTCATAACTGTTCTGCTGAATCATGCTCAAAATTTACACTCGGAACTGAATAGGCCATACATACTTTCATTGAGA